CGGCAGGGACGGGCCCGATACGGGTCTCTTCTCTTGGCCCTCGTCGTGAGGTGAGGGCGAAGCGGTGGCGTGGCGTGGGCTTTTCAAGGAACGAGCGGTTACGAGGAAAGTTTGGGAGCTGGACCTGAAACAGGATGTTGTGGAGCTCCTCAGCGGAGGGAAGAAAACTTTGGGAGCTTGGAGTTTGTAGTGAAGCAATTAGACATAAGGCAATGAAATGCCGAGTGGCTAGCGCGAGCGTTTTATTCTTCTGCCTGAGTTGAGGTGTAAGTATACTAAAAAGAAACTAAGGAAAAACAAGATTACATTAGTTTATAATGAACTGCCTTAGTCATTATAAGCTTGATGTGTTTAGAAGGCGATGGGTGCCTCCTTGAGTGAAGCAAATCTGTTGAATTACCAGAGCAGTTGGTAACTTGTTTTAAGACAACATGTCCTCCTCGCTCTTTCTCGGCTAAGGCAGTGTGGTGCTGTATCATCATGGTCTCGCTCTATAGACTGTGGTCTCACTGCACAGTTTTGTGGAGTAGAGTCATTGCTTGTTCTAGTTTAGTTTTTGTCAGTTCACGTGTCTCTGTGATAAGAGATTTACCGTAAAAACTCTCCTGTCAAACTCTGTAACTGGATCAGGAGCAGGGAGATTGTTCACAGATGTAACGTAACTGTGCTCAGAGCTGGAGTTCTGGTTCTCATCCTTGGAGATCTAAATGTCAGAGACAAGGATCTCACTGACTGGGTATGAGTAGCTTCAAAGACTGAGTATGTTTATCTGTACAAGTACAGAGCTAGCTTTGCTCCTTTTAATTTTTTAAGTTGCTGTTTGTGCAATTCCTGTCAACTTTGTCTCGACCTAGAAATCGAAGATGCCTACTGAGGTTAAACAGTTTGTCCTACAACACTGGTACCAAATCGTCCATTGAAGACTAGAACTAAAAGCGAGTCTTTTAATTCCTTTGTTAGAAAACCTGGATGAAAAACATTTAGAGCAGACCAGGTGGTGCCTGCCTCTTGACTTCTAAGCATTAGGTATATTTCTACTCCTCCTCCATGTAACTGCATGTGATAAAAATGCTGTCATTTTCTCCAGAAGCAGTGTGATAACCTATTCCCTTGACCCAATGCAGTATACACAGTGCTAGCAGCAAGAAGGCTTGGCGATGCCGCTGGCTTCCCCTGGGTCTGAGTTGGACCCACGTGTGTGTTTTCACAGATGCAGACCTTCAGCTGACTCTCACTTGCTTTTTCTGAATCTCAGCCTGCAAAATGGTTGCATGCTAGTAGCTGTCTTCATGGGAGAAGCCTTAATCAAGTTAATGGGACTACTGTTGCAGTAATGTTGCTAGTAAATAGCCTTGTAATCCTCTGAGTCATAAAATATTAAATAAGACTGAGAGTTCTATAAATGCAGGTCCCCCATTCAGTATATTGAGCATGACACGATGACTTGAGGGCTTTTCATCAAAGGCGCTTGCCTCTCGTTGTTACTTTCTAGTTTTGGATGCGCTCAATGCTGCGATAAAATGAGATGACCGTATTAACACTGTCTTATCTTCTCCTCACCCCCTAAAAGAGCTTAAGGAAAGTAGGACTGTGGTTTGACTCAGTCAGTGCACTTCTGCTCTCACCAAAGAGCAATATTCTGTTTGGCTTATATGGTGTCAGCAGTTTACCTGGCTAAATTTCATCTCAAATGAATATTTCTTATGATTATTAAACACAGGCTGTGTTGGGATACACGTGCGTCTCGTCTCTTCTTTGCTGTCTGGACGCAGGCTGGCCTCCTTAGATCATCTGTTTGCGTTGTGCGTCTCGCTGCGATGCTAGCTTTGCCAGGTACGTCTGTGCGTGTCTAGTGATTCTGGACTCTTATACAAAGATCAATGAGGCTTCTAGATGCCACTTATTTATTGAAGGCTGGGGTTGTTTCAGCTAATTGTTCTCATAAATTATTTGCTCCAGTGTTATGCAGTGATGCTGTGATCAAACATTAGCTCCTGTCTTCATACTGACAGGCAGATGTAATTTGTTTCTTTTCCTGAATGATAACTGATAAAGAACGTCTTGACTGATCTGTACTGGGGACTCAGATGCTGGCCAAAATAGCACAGTATTCATCCAATCATTTAAATAACTCTGATGGATATCCGTCTTTCAAATACTCTGAATGTAATTTCTAGTTAACTTAATATTAAGACTGCAGCTCTATTCGCTTATGATAATCAGTGGAATTTCTGGCTGGCTGCATTGTTTTACCTTCAAGCGAATGTTTTACATGAACACCAGAAACCTACTCCAGTCTCTCTCATGGTTTTACTGCTTCTGCATGCTATGTCGGGGTTGTACTTGATCAAAATAACAACTGCAAGTGCACTTTTCCCTGGAAATTAAAAAGAATTTAAAAGGTCTGAGCTAATGATAAAAGCTAATGATTTGTACTTGTATAACAATGCAAAATAAAGAAAAACCTGAATAAATTCACTTCTTGGTATGTCAGCAGTAATAAAAAAAAAAATTATAGAAGTTGGCAAAAGAGCTAGAATTCCAGGTTTACCTACTGTCAGGGAGGCATCATTTAATATACGTTCTTGAGGCATGCTCCATCTCTTAATTTGTAAAAATAGGATGGTGGTATGACTAGTTCTGTATCTTAATTCCTTAGTCTTCTGTTGTCTGACCTCACAATTTCATATGCTGGTTTTATTTTTTCTTCTCTTGATGTGTCTGAAATGCAGTTGAGGCTGTGTACCTGCTGCTGGCTCCCAAAGGCCTGACCTTTTGAAAGCCGTTCTGCTTAAACTCAGAGTTTGGGCATGGTGGCAGAGTCCAGAGAGGTGGGATATGTCGCATTGTACTGCGGTGAATGATACTGACCTTGTTTGCCAGGAATGAGAAGGGCAAATAATTTTTTGTTCAAAATTAGCTGTGAACCTTTAATTATTTGAGAAGGTAGTACTCCATCTTGGCTTCACCTTCATACGTCTCTTTGCTGGGTGACTGCAGGTTGAAGTATGTTAGTAAAGAGGTTGGTCTCTACTTGCAAGCAGAAGTCTTGGTAAATGCGTAGTCTTTAAGATATAAAAAATAAAATCCAAAAAGCTGCACCCCGCTCAAAACACTGTCCTAAATTTTCAGTGATTCTAGCAGAGATGCAGACTCCTGTATAGGGAATAAAGGCTAACTGGCAACTGGCTTCTCTCTCTGTGCATCACTCAACACACGGTCCACAGGCCCCCTTGGGAAAGCCTGTGCTGGTGTCTGGAGTTGCTCGTTCCCCCACGCCGAGTTGCATAAACCAGGGTGTGGAATTCCCCTTGCTGCCCTCGGTGGAGGGAGTCCCCCTGATATGTCAGTCAGTGGTTCAGCATCTTCTAGGAAGTTTCGGCATGAACCACTTCTCGATTTGCTTTTGTTGGAGCGTTGTTGAAAGTGTGCTTGATATCCTTTTGCTTGTCCCTAAAGAGATTTCTTTCGAGAGTTTGTATGTGCCTGTGAAATACATTTGTGCTCCTTCTCTGTAGATTAATGTTCTTCCTATCAACTGCAGTTCTCCGCTATTAAATTATTAACTCCACAGTGAGATTCTTTTTTCATATTGTTCATGACTTTCATGCTTGATTTATTCTTCTGCATAGTCTGAAACTGGACTATGGGAATTCTGACTAGTATTACTGGATCACAAGTATGACCTCAATGCAGGCTAAATAAAGTTTTTAATTGGGAGAAGGACATCTGTCTTTCCAAGCGAGAGGTAGTCCATTTGTGAGCATAAATTATCCTTAAAGACACGTTGCTTGTTATTTAACAAAACTGGGCTGGATGGAACAGCCGGTGAAGTGATTACAGTGTGCTCTGGAGAAAGTCCTGTGGGTAGCGTGAAGGGAGATGCAGGGAAATGCTTGTTTGTAGATTCTTCCGCTAATGCGGCTTTGAAGCTGAATGCAAGACATGCTTCCCTGGCAGAGAGGCCGCTTTTGACTAGAGAGCGTTCCCCTCAGTTGTTCTTGTAGGTACTTATAGTCTGCCATGTTTTGTCCTTTGTTTTGTGTTTTTGTGTGTGCTTTTTTCTGCAGGGAGAAAATAGGAGGTGAATTGTGTATCCTTCCAGAAACCTTCTGTTAAACTTGGAGTGCCACAGTTCAAGCAATAGAACAGATGGATAATGGAGACTGGGGATATATGGTAAGTGATCCAGTATAAACGTGTTTGTGTGCTGAGCAGTACAACTGGGCTCTCAAGATCGTGAGGTAAGAGTGCTTCCAGATCTGTTTTGTGTAGCATCAGTCAAGTGAAAAGAAAAAATGTGCATGTTACAACAGCTTACTTGCCTTCTCCTGTGTGATTCACCTTACGTGTTATTGGTGGGAGATCTCATATTTCCCAGCTAAAAATCAGCAAGTACTTAACTGACGTTTTAAACTCATTGTTACCGTCTTCCTAATATGCAAAGACTGAAAAGAGTTTGCTTCCTGCATATGGTTTTAAGGGCTTTGTAATTTTATTTATGAAGAAAAATATTTTTCCTTGCAAACTCTTTCTCAAACTAGACAAACACGTCTTATTTTTCTCCTCTTCTCTTTCTCTAAACGTTCTGCTGCCGTCCATATGTTTCTTTTCTCTGGCTGGCCTCCGTCCCGATTGTCAGAATCGGTGGCCAGATGGGATTTATATTCCTTTCTCTCTTGTTTCCTCATGAGTGATCTGGGAGCTGATGCAGAATAGTTTGGTGCTCTTTCCCCTCGTCTATGCAGCATGCTAATTTGCTAATAAATGTTTCTTTCTAGAGTTAAAAGCTGGAAGTTCTTTTTTGCTTGCTTGTTTTAATGATGTGACTTAACCCGTGCATGGATTATTTTGATTGTGAGCTCTTAGTCCCATTTCTAAATTTGTGCTTTCCGTCTCTTTTGAGGGAGAGAAAGAGGCTTAAGGCTTGTTCAGCTGATTTTTGTTCTAGAAAGAGAGACAGATTGTGAAAGTGAGGAGCACTAACTTGTTCTTCAGGAAATCTCTTGTTTTCATTTCCCCATCTGTAGAATAGGAATAAACGTGTTACACAAATGCAAAACTTCTGTGGCGGTAGCTGAATGTTTCCAGTTAAGATTTCTAAGGCGTTCTGAAATGTGCTTTCTGAATGCTAAGTATTATCCTGTCTAGTTGCCAGTTGTGCCTTGTTGCTAGGTGGCTTGGATTCGTTCAGGTTTAAACACCACTTAAAGACTTTAAATGGAAGAAATGTGATTCCTTCCGGAGTCGGCGCTTTTCAAACAGTATCTGCCATGCGTGCTGGTGAGACGATTGAATCCTCTTGAGGTGGTTTGATAAACTCTGCAATTTCTCTCTTTCTAGATGACTGATCCAGTCACGCTAAATGTGGGTGGACACATGTATACGACATCCCTCACAACTCTAACGAGATATCCTGACTCAATGCTTGGGGCCATGTTCAGGGGAGACTTCCCCACTGCCAGGGACTCTCAGGGCAATTACTTTATTGACAGAGATGGACCACTTTTCCGCTATGTTCTTAACTTTTTAAGGACCTCAGAGCTGACTTTGCCACTGGACTTCAAGGAGTTCGATCTGCTTCGGAAGGAAGCAGACTTCTATCAGATTGAACCGCTAATTCAGTGTCTTAATGACCCCAAGCCGCTGTATCCTGTGGATACCTTTGAGGAGGTAGTAGAGCTGTCCAGCACCCGGAAGCTTTCCAAGTACTCCAACCCCGTGGCTGTAATCATCACACAACTAACTATCACAACAAAAGTCCATTCATTACTGGAAGGCATTTCAAACCACTTTACAAAGTGGAATAAGCATATGATGGATACCAGGGACTGCCAGGTTTCCTTCACTTTTGGGCCATGTGATTACCACCAGGAAGTGTCGCTCCGAGTCCATCTGATGGAGTACATCACAAAGCAAGGCTTCAGCATCAGGAATACGAGAGTTCATCATATGAGCGAGCGTGCCAATGAAAACACAGTGGAGCATAACTGGACTTTCTGTAGACTGGCACGGAAAACAGATGACTGATTCCGACTCTACGGGAGCCATTTCAGTGGTTAGCAACTTAATTGAACAATAAACGCGAGAGAGTCTGGATTTTGACGAAAGCAACAATGTGGGCTTTTTTTTTTTTTTTTTATATAAGACTATTTATTGTTAATCTTTAAGGACTGGAGGAGTTTCGTTCTCTAGCAGCTCTGTCTCTTTGTCCTGTCCAGAAAAAAACATGCATGTGCCTGTTGAGTCAAGACACCTTTTTTGTTTGAAAGAGGGAGTCGAAGATTTAGTACAATAGGGTATTTTGTGTCGTTAACACAATTCTCTGACACAATTTAAAAGTGCTAAAATTACCTCTGTTTAAATGGTTTCTAATCCATCTAATGCTATGCCACTGGGAGTAAGAAACAAACAGAATTTAGGATGCAGTTGGAGAAAAGCTGCTATCATGTAGACTAATTTAGTTTCTAAATCAATAAACAGTATTGTAATATTCTAGGAAAACAGATCCCTCCTTTTAAAAGTACTTGATAAGTACAGTTTCTTACAGTTATGACAACTGTTTCTTTCTATGCATATAAATCAAGCAACCAAATATTATCTGTAGCCATGGAAATATGATTAGAAATATTTATATTGGATTCTGAATGCAAAATGTCCCTGTGGTAAAATTCATATTTTTGATGCCTGGTGCAATATTATTCCCAAGTGTAATGCCTGCCAGCGAGAAGCTAATAAAAATGTGAAATATAGAATATTATTTTGTATTTTTCATCTTCTAGAAGTCTAATACTTCAAAACAAACAAACAAAACCCAGAAACTGTTTTTCAGTGCTGTGGAGTAGTACAGACGCTCTGGTAGGGCTCCTTTCTCCTCTGTTACTGACATACTTGTTCCTTTTTATTACTTTTTATCTTAATCAGTTGACCCAACTGTCACCATTACAGAAGCAACTTGTGTATTGAAAATTATGCCTTTTGACTAGCAGAAGGATGGCAAGTATTTGTCCAGGTTAAAGGGATAGAGACGGAGGAAACATATACAGCCTAAATACTTGTAGCTTCTAAGCAGTGTTATCCAGTTTGTCAGCAATTCATCTGATGCCTGTTATGTATATAATGTTCTGACCATAGGGTGCTGTTTCTGGTGCCGCTCAAGTCAAGGCACTCGAGCTCTGTGTTTTTATTCAATTTCATGGAGGCATTTCTGCTTATCTTGGGCACTTTGTCATAGTTATTTATAGAATTTCTGGTTATGCTCTGACTTGAATGCTGTTGGAAATAAGAGTTGATGTCCGTTTTGGTTGAACGGATCGCGTTCTCCTGTGAAATTCTTGTCACAAGAGTTTCTTACAGTAATCGGTTTGCTCTTTGGCCTGGGTGGACCACAATTCTTTAGGGATGTTCAGAGGAAGTCTGGATTTCTACTGTACTTGCTGGTTCTTCAGTCCTGGAGCCTTCCCTGTTCCTTCTGTCAGTCAGGAAGCCCATCTCAGGAGCGTTCTTCTGCCCTGTTTTGTCTCCCCTCTTCATACATCGTAGGGGTTTTGACTTTTATACTAACTGGCAGTGAGAGTTTATTCTTCTTAAGGGGGGAAAAAAAAAAAAAAGCTGAACTGAGGAAGCTCAGGAAAGGTAACTGTTTCCCGAATGCTGCATGTGTTATGAAATATCTGTGTTAAACTGGCATTGGATTGTAATGACAAGATGTTCTTTGCAACACTTCATTTCCTAGTAAATTAACGTTTGGCTTGGATCAGCCTGCCCTTTACATAATTATGAAGTATAATAATTACAGAAGCAATATTCCAAATCATTTGTTTTATTGGAGTCCAAGGTTTATAGACAGACAGTTATGATGGGCTTTATTAATGGGGAAAATAAGTTCCACACACTGGAGTTGAACCTCAGCTTTGTCTGAATCTTCATTAGCCAGGGATACTTCACTGCTGAACAAGTTAAGAGCTATTTTCATTGCCTAAACAAGTGCACTTTCTAATAAGACTTCTTGATCTAAGTGAACAAGTTGTTCCTAGAAACCAAGGACCGTAATTTTACCTTACTTGGATCTTTTAGTAAAGATAGTTTGCTAGTTTTTTTGGGAGGCACTGTACAGTTGTAACAAACTGAGGGTGAACTCATAATCATTTTTTTTTCTTTACACTGAATACAGTGTATTTAAAAGAAGGACTGGAAAGCCAAATGGCTTATTTTCTGCTGCTATCTGGACGCTTCAGGTCAGAAAAGAGAAAAACTAGACTATTTCTGCTATGTAGTAGCAGGTACTGCTCAGAGTTGTTTGGCTTCTGCCTGTGATTAAATGCAATTGATTGGGTAAGAATCTTGTTTCATGCATTAGCAACTGCAACTAAGTAGCTGATTAATAATCTCTGGTTAGTCATTACCGATGCTTTATAAATGTACCGCTGCACAAAGAACAGGAGGAAGCTCGTGTCCTTGGCTTAGATCATGGTCTTCATAATTTTGATAGTGTGTTCTGAAGAAGCGGCTTCAAATACTTTGCATAAGCTGGGCTCACCTGTTCAGAAAGCGAACGTGCAAGGGAATTAATGGCAATTAAGAAGAGGACCATGCTATATCTATATGTATATTATATATAAAGATATATATATGTACTTTTAAAGAATGCTCTCTGAACTATAGAAAGCTACATCACTTTAAAAAAAAAAAAAAACCCAAAAACTATAGCTATATGCAAGATCTCTTCCCCATAATATATACCATCCTTCTGTAACCAGTACTCAATACCTCTTACCTCAAATGGGAGAGCATACAACTTAACTTCAAAAAATATGCTTGAACTTAAAATTTGCCTTTAGCAAACATTCACGTTCACCTGTAGAATTTCAAAGGGAGGGCTGATGACCACTGTGAAGATCTCACTTAAGGCGAGATGAGTTTTCAAACAGACCAGCAGCCATTTGCATCGTGCAGGGTTTTACATTACTTTACAATGTGGATGAATTAAGAAGTGAAAGTAAAATGCTAAAGACCATGAAGGGTGATATTGCCTTGTTTATCAATTATATTCTTTTTCATTAAAAATATTAAAAAAAAAAAATTAAATATTGCACTGGTAAAGGTACTAGTCAGTGGAAAGCACCTTGCTATTTGTGGCTCTTGCAGCCATCTAGGGTTGTTCCATAACAGCAACCGGGTAAACAGACTTTTGTTTTAGCTTATTTTGTACAATATTACCGTGATGTCATGAGTTTAAAAAACAACAAAACCAAAACACATTGGTGGCACACAACAGTCCAGCTCCCTAGTACAAGCTCTACCGCTTGGTGATGGATTACAGTGCCCAGAGTATTACTTACCCCTCTTTAAATACCAGTGACTGAAGTAGATTTAAGCACTAGTGGTTGAAAGATCCTCTCTGACGTTCATAGGGAGGGACAGGATTAGTTGCAAATGGGCAGCAGAGCCCTTCAGTTGAAGATGTTACTTTAAACGGTGGAGAGGGGATTCCTCTTGCCTGGCAGTTTGTTCTGCATGCGAATCCAAGCTAAATGGCTTTCTGTCACCTGCTTCTGCACCCCCTCCCTCTACCATCTCCCCCTCCACCATGCGTCATGTATGTTTGAATAAGTATGTTTGCACAGCGCTGCATTGCCTGGTTTGAGTTCACCGCAGTGGCGGTGTCTAGCCAAGACTGTAGTTGGCATAACTGGAGTATCACAGCTCATGGTTCAGAGTGGGATGCTGAGAACTAAAGGCTCTTATTCCGCTTACTTTTATCTGCTTTGCTTTATTAAAAAAGAAAAGCAAACAATATCTACCGTGGCTAATACAAAAGCTGCCTAGCAGCATGCGTACCTGAAGGTTGGACGGTGACTTCTGAGCCCACTCGTAAAGCCGTTGGTAAACCTGTCCATCGTAAGCGCCAAGTGCAGAATTCAAACTCTTATCTGTGAAGTCGAAAGCATCCACTAGCGGAACAGCATCCTTCCTAAGGAGTAGGAACAGGCACATTCATATTAATGAAATAGATATAGCTTTGCAAGAGAGGAAAATAAGTTGGAGGTGAACTTGTAAGTCAGTTGTCCAAGTTCCTCAGTCCAAAATTCTTGCACCGGTGTTCCCTCTTGCCTAAATAGTAAGGAAAATCCTGCTTGTTTTGATTCCTCAGAGGCATGTTCTGTTAAAGCACCAAGTTTCTGGACTGGTGAATGAACGTTTGCAGGTCTTGTAATCTGTGGGGGTCAGTCCCTAATTTAGGACTCAGTGTCACTTCGGGCTGTTCTATCAGCAGATTCTGCTTGATTTTTTGTTTTGTTTTTGTTTTCTCCCTCCCCTCATAGACAACCTCTATGTGGTTGTCTTACAAAATGGAATAAGGTTACTGCTAGTCTGATCTGAAGTGCTTTGCTGATCTCCACTCTTCATCTAAAGTACTGCTGTAACGTCATCATGGGGCACCCAGGCCTTCTGCTGTCGTCAGCATAGCTCTAAGAACAAAGCAACCCTGAACCGGGTCAGACCAAGGGCCCAGCTAGCCCAGTGGCCCATCACGGACAGTGGGCAACAACAGATAACTAGAGAAAAAGCACGAGATAAAGGGAAGTTTGTAATGACACTCCCAGCTGTGGTTTATCAGTATTTCCTCTTAAGCAGGAGATAGTTTCTTTTTTCTTATTCTGTTGCCGCGGGTGTAAGAAGTACTGCTGTCCGCACCCCGCGCTTGAGGCACGGGGGTGCAAAGTGGCTTGCTCAAAAGCTGGCGTTTGCATCCCCCAGTTCTTTTGGGGGAAGGGCTGGTGTGGTGTTTTTTGTTCCAGACCAGAGATGTTTGTATCCTTTTCCCTAATCCTAAATAACGGACTTTAATTATGCAGGTAAATACCTTCTCCTTTCTGGAGCCCTGCTAACAAGGCATGGGCTAACACTGTTGGCTAGAATGAATTCCAAAGACAACTATGTGAAATTATGGACTTTTGGAAAATGAATCTTAAGCTTACCACCTTTTCAAATCTGTGATTAGTTCTGAAAACGCTTGCTATTTGGCTCACTGCTATTCAACTGTTGGTTATGGTGTATTCTTGTTTCTCACCAGCTGGCTTCTGTAGGATTTTGCATGCAGTAGCAACTCACTTCTCTGCACTCTGTTCTTAGCAGGCAGCATCATATAGTGAAAGGTGAACCCTCTGTGAAAAAGGCTTTCTGAGCTTTGTGGTAAATTAAAACCTTAGCATATTTCAGAAGTCACATGGTGAGTAATATGTTCTTTACAAACAGATCAAGCTTAGAAAACTTTCTCGTCAACTTAGAATTACAACCAAATGTGATATGATGTATGTTTAAGCATGATTGTGCTGCAGCCTGTATTGTGAGTATGGTGCTGAGCAGACGCGTCTGTACTAGCTCTAGTCAGAACTGTTTGGGTACCAGTTGCAACTCAGCCATGGCAACAGAGGAGGCTGCGTTAGCTGTTGCTCAAGCAGATTTTGCAGTCTGTGCTCAGCTGCTGTGGCTCCCTCCTTCCAGTGCTGCGCTGATTACATATTTGGCCGCTTTGTCTCTACTGCGAATGGTAGCAAGTGTTTAGGATTTCTTGATTTATAATTCAAGATTTCATGTTATGGAACTTGAATTGAGTGATTATTACAGGGGTGCTAGACGCTTAGATCTGTTTTGCTGTGAAAATGAATTCTGTATAGATATTTCAATCAATTTCTTATGCTGACAGGCAACGAAAATAAAAACCGAA